AGGGTGATGAGATGACCACACTCGACACACTTTCTTTTCAAGCACTGCTATAAAGAACAGAAATGAGCGATAACGCTATAACTTAGCATGCATGCATGACAGAATGCAAGCTCAATCTGTGTCAAGCAGCTTCACTCTGCATACTTTAGTGCCATTACCATAGTAACAGACCCAATACTTTTTGATCAGACCTCATATATATATAGTAGAAGTAGTAATAAATATAAATAAGTTAATAGTAAGTTTTTTTTTAAAAAAAAAAACAAAAAAAAAAAAAACAGAAATATCATCATGATGTTAAGCATGCACTTAACAGAATCTAACAAATGCAAAAAAACACATTTTTTTTTTGTTTTGTTAGGTGAAATTTAGATTTAAAAATGTAAGGTAAACCAAACATTCAAATTTTTCTTAATAAAAAAAAAAGAAAATTATTATTATTATTATTATTATTATTAATAGAATTTTTGTTTTTAATCAGAAGTTGATTAAAAAAAAAAAAAAAATCTGGTATATTATCATGATGCTGAGGAAAGACATTTGACAGCAAAAAATAAATATTTTTCTTTGTTTTTCTAAGTGAAATGTAAGCTTATAAAGTCACAAACTGTTCACTAATTGGTGTGACAACAAATGTTTATATTTAAGTTAGTGTTAGCTCATTTATAAATTTATATTTCATTATTTTAACTCCTAGTGGGAAATGTCCTCACAAAATCTAGAAAAAGATAAAAAAAAAAAAAAATTTAGAAAATTCTATTTTTCAAAACAAAATTATTTCATGCCTGAATAAAGATGATTTGGGTCAAGATTCTCTTGTAAAATACATTTTATAGATGCTGTTTACAAAAAAATTTTTTTTTCTAAGAATTCTTCTTCAGATTTGAAAAAAAAAACATTAATTAACAAAACTTAACTTTAGCTATGCATCCCATTTCCATATATATGTCAAAGCAAATAGAAATTGTAATGCATATTTCTTCTAATTTGGACAAAAAAGAAATTTTAGTTTGAACACAACCATACTTATATGGTTGGTTAACACCTGGAATTAATGTAGTTTTGATCATGTATTTTTTTTAACATCAAATCCCTAATTTTATCTCTCATCAATTTGCTCAAGAAATTCGTTTGTAGGTTAATATCTTCGTGTTTCATGCATATTTCAAGGGGGTCCCAAAAGTTTCACACGGTTAACAAAAATATTATCTCATCTTAATAAATTACTTAAAAAATAAAGTAATTTGTAAATTGTGTGTGTGTGTGTGTGTAAATATATATATATATATATATGGGAAAATATATACATTTTTATATATCAAGAACAATTTTAGAAGAAAACTATGATGACAAAGTGGAAAAAAAGTTTTCTACTTTTTCATAATTTTCCCTAAAATATATATAAATCCAAATTTACCATAGACCTTATTTTTTTATTAAGATAATAAGAGCTAATCCTAACATCGCATTCCCACTGAAGTAATCAACTTGTGCATCTATGCAGCAATCACAAAAATTTCTCCAAGATTCCTTGCAATTACCAAACATTCTAAAAGACAGTCAGACACTTCTTGGAATTCTGCTTGGTTTCTCAATCACATCAAAACTTTTGAGCTGGAATTTCATCCTGGAGGACGGGAAAAAAAAAAAGGTCGCAGTGGTCGATATCAGGAATATAAGTTAAATGAGGGGATGATCTTTTTGGAATTGTAAAACAAAGATTTTCAGATGAAGCTGAATATTTGCCAAACTATGAAAGCAGTCTTACAAAGAGCCTCGGTACTTCTCCTTCGGACGTTTTAAGCATCGGGATTGATCTTGTCCATTATCCCTTTAGGTTTAATGGTGGGACGGCTTCCTGGAAGTAGACATTCGATTCCGACCAAAATAATACAGGACTTCAAAAATAAAAAACGAGTTAACTCCCCTGAGACGTACAGTGATTGTTCCAATTAACAAGTGAAATCCAAGGGAAATAAATAAAATGTCGAAACGCTTTAATTTTTAATCTATGAGTCTTTAGCCTTTATTTCTGCAGATTTTTCAATGTGATCAGAAAAAAGAATTGATTTATTGGCAAAACCAAGCCAAAGAGGAATGGCCATGATATTTTTATAAAGTTTTGTATAATTTCAAAATAATATTAGTGTGAATCGAATTGGTTTTAACAATTAATGTTATTTTGTGTGTGTTCGAAATAACTGAGATATTGGAGGATTTTAAAAGTAACTTCAGTGTATTTCTTTTCATCATGTAAATACTGAGGGCTACAAATTCTAAATGCTCTTAAACAGAAAACAAAAAATTATCCCAGTAAACAATACATTTACCCTTCCTCAGTATTGTATTAAGCCATAGAGATAATGATCTAAAACTAAGTGTTTATCACTAGTAAAAAAAAAAAAAAAAAATGATTTTATGAACTTCTATTCACACCATAACAAAATAAAATCTGGAATAATTATTGGTTTCTATTTAAGAACATTTAAAATTTGTATCCCTTGATAAAAATACATACATTGAAAATACTTTTACACTCCAATATCCTAATTATTTCATATATAATGCTTGTCACAAAGCTCATTATATATAAAAGGAAGTAATAAATTTTTACTCGTAATCTGCCATTATTTCTTATTACTTAAATACTTATATTTTAGTGAATACATATCAGTGTGAATTACATCTACCGGCCTGTTCATTTGAGAATCTTAATAAAGCTTTCTGAAGGCAGCACATTTTCTTTATCTAGATTCTCAAATGAAGAAGCTGGTAGATGTAATTCACAATATTTAGACAAAAAAAGACAAAAAAAAACACAACAGGGCATCTTCTCAAACATGTGTATGCACTAAAATATACTTAAGTAATATATTTACAACAGAAGATGATGCTATATGTGTCTTGTTTATGGGACAGTTAAACAAATAAAAAATATTAAGAATTATGCGATTTTGGCACCTTTGTGCTAACAAAAAATGTAGTGTCAAAAGAATGGTTTTTCCATTGACAATGCTATTATTTTAACTACCTTCACTCTTCGGCAATGTTTGCTTTAAAAAACAAGGATTAGAATTGTAATGAAATCTAAACATATGAAAATGAATTCATAAATCATTTTTGTTCTTGAGAATTTACAACAAAAACATGAAACAGTATTTATCTATTTATTAGATTGTTTATTTACAAGAATGACATTCTAAAAACTAATAAAATTAAAACTAATGCACTGCAATATTTATTTACCAATTTATAAAGAAATAAATATGAATTTTTTTATTCATAAATTTATCAACATTTGCTAAATTATTAAAATATGTGAACTAATTATAAGGAAATCTTTATAACTTACCATTTTATAAAATCCAAATCAACTAGCAATTAACGAATGTTTTGCTAACCATTCCAATAAAAATCTAATAAAGTGTAAATAAATAATCTACTAGTGTTTATTATTTTATCAATTCTCAAGAACAAAGACAATGTATAAATTCACTTTCATATGTTTAAGTTTTATTAAAATTCTAATCATTGCTTTTTAAAACAATAAACATTGCTGAGGAGTGAAAGTAGTTAAAATAATAGCAGTGTCAAGGGAAAAAATGTCCTTCTGACACCATTTTTTTTGCGGGCACAAAGGTCTAATATTGCCAAGATTTAATTATTCTTGGAATTATGAAATTTTAAAATTGTTTATATTTTAAGGGATTTTTTTCCCTCCATTTGCATTGAAAATAAAAAAAAAATTTGTTTACATTTTTCAGCAATTTTACAAATAAAATATTCAAATAAACTTTTTTTGTCATTTCTTATTCAGAAACAAACTCTGAAATTGCTTATTTTTAGCTAAGGCAGTAATCAAAAATAGTTTCTAAGGAAAATGTTTCTTTTTATAATTGCTTTGAATCAAGTTTATATATTAGTATTATCACTGAGCACAAAACATATCTGGTACTATTACACTTTTGCACCCCTCAACCACAAATTGTATGGAAAGTAAGGGTCCAAAGATGAAAATCAAAGCAATGCATAGACCAACAAATGATGGATGATTACTTTGCAAATTCAAAGACTTAACATTTTATCATTTTTCGCATTAAATCACCACGGATTTATATCTAATGTTTTATACTTAATATCATTGGTTCTTGAATTAATATTAAATTAAAAACTTTTTTTCTAATGTTGATTTTCTTGCTTGTAAACATAATAGTTTCCAGAGGTTCAATTTAAATGACATAATACAAATCTTAATGCACAGGAAGTAGATATATGGTGGTTTGAAGATGGATGGTGCATAACTTAGCATCACATATTTAATGGCCTCAGGAGACATCAATTTTTCTTCTAGTAATAACCAGACTAGGTTTTTATTAGGTTATAATATCAATATTACAATGCTAACATACAACTAAATCTTTTAATAAAATGAAAGCTTATTCCCTTTTTCATTATAATATAATGAAGTAGTCATACAGTTAGAAAACTATAAATTTTTTAGTTTATCCTTTGTATCTTTTTGAATACCAAGCTATCAAGATAGTTTTATAGTTGTTTACAATATGTCCCACTTGGCCATATTTATATATATATATATATATATATATATATATATATATATATATATATATATATATATACACACACACACAATTTCCTGTTAATATATCTACCATAAATGTCATGAAGTTCAAATTGCCATACTGAGAATGTAGTGATAACTACAATATCAGGTTTGATGAAGAAAAAAAACATTTTGTACTTAAATATTAGACTATGTAGAAAAATAATGGATAGGATATAACTAAAAAAAAAAAGTGCTTCTTTTTAGAAGAGAATTTCCTGTAAAATAAAAGTTTATCTACTCTTACTTAACTGAATTCCTTGAGAATGCCACATGGTTTGAGGATATTTTAAGATGCCACATGGTTTGAGGATATTTTAGCAAGTTTTGCAGCATCAAAAGTGGTAGAAAGAGGGAAGAATTAAGACAATAATCTCTATATACTGGCTCCACCATGTTTTCCTTTATGGTGTGAATGAGTTTTCATTGACTCCATATCCATTACTGACTTACTGTGTACCCCGTTGCTGTTATCTCCCCCTCCGCTGCAAATGATACCCACGCTTCGGCCATGGATGCTGACAATGCTGCCATTACGAGGAAACACGCTGCCAGGGGGAACAGTTGTAACTCCCGGAGCCTCACTCCAAGTGGGCAAAGTAAAGCTTCTTGCCCAATCATAGGTACTGTTCAGCCTGTCTGTCACCATAGTAACAGGATGATGATGATCCTGGGGATGATGAGAGGAATAAGATGAGGTGCAACAGGAAGGGGGATCACTCATCATCAGTGGGGCTGGGGAACTTACCAAACTGCTTGAAGACTGTGAGGGCTGTTGAGTAGGGAGTGGTGGTGAAGAAACTAGTGGCACAGCTGTTGCAGCAACTGCCACAGTTGTATCTGTTACTGTGGGGGTAACATGGCTAGCCTCTTCCGCAGTAGTATCTACTGATGACCCCGTAGCGGCATCAGCTGTCGCAGTGGTCGCTGCCTTATTGTGATCATCGGCCGTGTGCGTCCGCTCGTGCTTCTTCAGGTTGGCTCGCTGCGAGAAAGACTTTTGGCAAATTGTACAGGTATATGGCTTTTCACCGCTATGAATCCGCTCATGATTATTTAGGTGAGCTCTCTGTGCAAACGATTTGGAACATGTTTTACAGGTGTATGGCTTCTCGCCACTGTGAATGCGCTCATGGTTGTTGAGGTGGTCGCGCTGAGAGAATGATTTACCACACACCCCACATTGGTATGGCTTTTTGCCCGTATGAATGCGTTCATGGTTATCGAGGTTACTACGTTGTGCAAAGTTCTTGCCACAGTAAAGACAGCTGTAGGGTCTCAGTCCCGTGTGTGTGCGTTCATGCTTAGCTAAATGTGCACTCTGGCTAAATGATTTTCCACACAAAGAACAGTGGAACGGCTTCTCACCTGTGTGTATCCGTCTGTGGTTCTTCAGGTGGGCCCTCTGTGCAAAACCTTTCGAGCAGACTTCGCACTTGAACGGGCGGTGGCCGCTGTGCGTGCGCTCGTGGTTGTTCAGGTGATCCTTCTGTGTGAACGACTTTTGGCACACCCCGCAGTGGAAGTTCCGGTCCCCTGTGTGGACTACCTGGTGATTTTTCAATCGATCTCGCTGTGAAAAAGCCTTGAAACAACAGCCACAGCTGAAGTGCTTACCTGCAGATGACGCATTCTCATGATGGTCAAGACTGGCTCTTTGTGAAGCGGCTTTATGACAGAGGTCACATTTAAATGGTTTCTGACTAGCACTGCAGCCTGGTTCGCTGCAGTCTCCTCTGCTGCAGCCTTCTTCATTGCAGCTACCTCCGATACTACTGCAACCACCTTCGCTGCCGCTGTTACAGCCTCCTCCACTGCAACCTGCATCACTGATACCGTTGCAGCCACCCCCATTACCACTAATGCAACCCCCTCCACTGGTATTAACTGAATTATCACCACCAGGACTTCCACTGCAGCTGCTTTCACAACTACTACTACTGCAGCTGCTTACATTACCACAACTGTTACCGCTGCAGCTGGCAGTAGATGTTTGTGATGTGCTAGAAGTGGGCAGTGAGGACACAGGGGGGGTAGGCTGGGGGGTAGGCTGGGATGTCTCGGTAGGTAGCGTTACTGCTGTGGTGGTTGTTTTCAAGTTCATTTTCATGTGATTATGATTGTGGTGATGATGATGGTGATGGCTGTTGTCATTGTTTTGGTTATATGACTGGGAGAATGGTATACTTTGCACTGAATACATTGTCTTCTTGGTCGATATTCCTGTTACTTGTTTTTTTTTTTTGTCTTAAATTTATATAATGCTTACTCAAAATGTAATGTCGTTCCACACCAGTGGAAATATAAGTGCTCTACATTTTTTTTTTTTAAATTCTATCATACAAATTTTTTTTTTTCTTTTTTAGATATATAAGTATTTTCTTTTTTTCTTGCTTCAAATTCCAACATTTCGTCTCCTTTACAGTTTTGATTAAATGTTGATACTGTTGAAAGTAATTAGGCTTAATCTTTCTTCAAAAAAAAGAAAAAAAATTTCTTTTTAAATGCTTCAATTTCAAATGGCCAGCCTTATGAAGAAACTAATTTTTTTAAAAAGTAGTTGTGATTGTAAATTATGACGTTAAAGTCTTCTATATATTAGCTCTATGACAGTGTGCAACTAATTTTCTAACACTAGAAAATGGAACAGGAAGAGCTTAAGATTCAACTTAATTCCCAATAAAATACTTAGAAATCAAGTTTCACATATAAAAGTTACCGAGGAATTGACTATTGATATTATTTTTGTCTATGCCTGAATTTACCAGAATTCACAAGTTTTTCAGAGCAGGGCAACATAAGTGGGTTTTTATCTGTCTTTCTGTTATTTTTTTTTTTTGTGTGTGTGTGTGTGTGTTTTGTAAGAATTTTGTGTTGATAGTAAATCAGGAATTTTTTTCTACAGACTTCTTGGTTAATATCAGATTTGGCATGAAGCCTGGTTCTAGCTGTTGTAGGTGAGCTTCACAATGGTGTTGTTGTGGCTAATCCTGCTCCTAGAGTTGCCACACTGGTTCTGTTCACTTGTAAATTTGTAACTGAAACATCTAAAAAGAGAACAGAAAAAATATAATTTCTTTGAGAGAGTTATTAAGAAAAAAAACAAAAAAACTGCAGTGTTGCTTTCTTAAAGGCAAATCAAATATCACCAATTGCGTATTTATGAGAAATAAGTTATCAAAAAAATAAAGAATAAAAATAACAATGGACATGTAACAGAAAGTAAACTTCAAGTTACAAGAAGTTAGTTTCAGAAATAGTGTAAGACGCTTTAATGGAGTCATGAAGTTATTGAAAATATATAAAATGAATTATAAAAGCTACAAAAAAAAGTACAAAAAAACCTAAAATAGAAACAAAGGTTAGAAAAGACTTCAAGTTTATATTTTAACATACTTGTCTTCTGTAAACCAACATGTCTAGTGTTATACTATTAACATTTAGCTCTCTGCATCATTTATAAAGTATTACTTCCTGTATATGGAATCCTGCCAAAATATAATGTTTTATTTCTATATATTTGAAATTGCAGTAACCTGGCTCTAAATTTCAGCCAAGATTGTTTTAGGTGTTGCCATAGAAGGATATGACAACACAAACAAGAAATTCAAATTTAACATTGGCAGGACTAACATTTTGCTTGGTGAAAATAGTCACCTACAGAGTGCCAAAGGTTAAACTGCTGAGTGACAAACAGTATGGATTTTTCACTGCTGATATCTTTAACTGTCATTATACACACAATAACAAATTCATCACAAAAGCCATCACATTAGATATCTTGAGATAGCTAAGGTGATGGCTTTTGAAAAAGATGTAGCATAAGAGGTTGCTACACAAACTATCCAGCTATGGAATAGTCTTTGTAATTATTAGACCTTTCCAATTGGGTAGGGTCCATGAAGTTTGTTGTTAATGGCCAGTTTTCTTTCTGAAGCATATGAGATCAATACAAGCATCTCCCCCAAGGCTATCCTTTTTCTGCTTTATATTAATGGTCTGCTGAGAAACATTCTCAGATCATTAGTAAATATCTGTGCAATATATAATATCACAGTGTATGAGTAGAACTCCAAAAATCTTGATGATCAAAGCCTGGCATCCAATGTCTCCTCCGACCTAAACTCGGACAGCTCAGTAGGTGAAAAACTAGCTTGTAACATTCAATACTTTCAAAACGAAGCTAGTAATGTTTCATCATCACACAGCACAGCCTGAATTTTCTCCAGTCATGATGAACAGTTACATTCCCAACGAGAACTTGAACGTTTGTTGGGACTGAAGATCACCTCAGACCTCAAGTGGAACTTGTATGTCTGATTGATTGCTAAAGATGCTGGAAAAATGGCTGGGTCTTTGTACTGCTCTGGAAAGTACCCAAGTCCTCCTGCCATGCTTTATCTTTATAAGAGTCAGATTAGATCAAAAATGAAATGTTACACTGCCATATCAGGGCTGGAGTTGCTCAATCCTCCCTTTCCAGCCTTGATAGAGTTCAAAAGCATTTCTGCAGCCTGTGGGCTATGAATGTAAAATAAGAAACAAAAACTGATAAGGTTATCATAAAGAAGTTAGAATTAAATAATAGTGTTTTTAATCAATTCACCCCCAAGCAAGAAAATAATGCTACTAAGACGCAAGGAGCTACTGGAAGTGAAAGAGAAAGAAAAGACTTTAGAAGGAACTGGAAACCCAATCCTAAACAGGAAACAAAGAATAAACCTCTACTCCTGTTCAAAAGACTAGGGAGGAGAGTGAATCTATCGACTCCTACCAAATTTACTTGTAATTTACTGTCGTTCATTACCACACACTGTTACAAGACTGTAGACAAAAAAAAAATCCCCATTTTTATATAGCACCTAACAAACATACCATTAAGCTGATCTGTGAAGGAAACTTACATTTATATAAATGAAATACAAAATTAAAATAATAAAATTTTAATGTTTTTATTTCACTACCTGCAAAATGTCAACATTAATGTGTTTGCATTGCTAGTACTTGTAGTAGTAATACTACAACTACTATTATTTTAATTAATCATCAGCATCGTTTTCAATTTGAAGGCATGCTGTGAACTAGCGTGATTTCTTATCTTCAGCATGGCTGTTTGTTTTCAAGCATGCCCATCTGCTCAGTCCTATTTGTGTTTCTTCAACCCCGACAGAGCCAACTTGTAGTTTACACTGCAACTATTCTGAGTGGACCTTAGTTACAGTTTAAGTAAGTGCCACACCAGGACCACATAGAGTTTGAATTCTAAGTTGTCTTCCTATACTGTTTGCCAACCACAGCTAGAGAGTCTAGTCCACTCTGCTATTTAATCCCTATTTTTAATTAATACTACTACTTATAACATGTGCTTGATAAAAGGCATTATAAGTAAAATATTCTCAATTTTAATGAAATTTAGAAAATATGGCCAACACGGAAAACCTGAATTCTTTATAAATAAAATATAGTACGTCATGAATAACCACTAAATACATGTTTTTAGTAACTTACAAAATTACTCAAAAAGACTTATGATCTGGCAGTTGATCACCCCTCTGATTTACCTCTAACAACTCAATAGGGAAAAAAAAAAAAAAAACTAACACAGGAGTTAATTTTTGGCCTAGAAATAGAGTAACATTCAATACCTCCAAAATTAAGCAAACACTGAATTTTCTTTGGTCATGATGAACTGTTATACTCTCAATAAGGCTCCTTGCCTTGAACGTCTGTTAGGACTCAAGTTAACCCCAGAGCTCAAGTTGAATTTAATTTGGAAAAATGGTTGGTTCTTTGTACCTGACTCCTCATACCAAATCTGTGAACAAGCAATGAGGAGACAATAGTTGACTCCCAATCCTGGAACTTATTTGTTAAAGTTAGTTATGCCATAAATTGTTAAAGTTAGTTATGCCATAAATGGCCAGATCAATTTAAACTGCTATAAAATCTAAAGAAACTCATGGTTAGTTTGTAAGTACCTACGACAAAAAATTCCTTTAGGTTAGAATAGGAAGTTCTTTATTCCTATGAAAAAAAAATAAATAAAAGAATCGCTATTTTTAAAGAATAAATAAATATAATTATGCAATTACAAACGAATGCAAAATAATTTTCTTGTAGTCTGATTGCCAATTCTAAGAAAAATGTTTTTAAAGAGTAATTGTAAACAGATGGATTTTCCACTATATTTTAAACAAAAGTTTTTTTTTCAATTTACTAATTTTCTTTGAAACAAATTTCTGTAGACATTTGATTTTTAAAATGTAAATTTTCTGTCATCCCTTTTCGATTTAAAAAAAAAAAAAAAAAAAAATGAAGGATTGATGATAAATTCACCATGACAATTTTTTAAAAAATGTTTCAAAAAAAAAAAAAAAAAAAAATTTAAACATGTAAAATTACTTTTCATTTTCTATACAGTGTGGTCCGAAAGTCTTGTCAGCCTCTACCTTTCTTCCAAACTATAGAACCTCGTCGTGTCAGCCATCTGAAACAGAAAATTATATTATATAGGGGTGACAAGACTTTCGGGCCACCCTGTAGATTAGCTTTGCCTTTAGTTTTTTTAGGTAAAAATCAAAATTTTGCTAGAAAGGAGGCATTTTATTTTTAAAATACCCACATTTTGCCGGTACAATTTCGTTTTAGCTAGTAAAGAAAGAGCTTTTTTTATTCTTTTTTTTTTTTTTAAATGAAACAATGATTTTTAAAGGAACAATTTCCAAGCATATTTCAAACCCTGTAAAAAATTATTTTTTTAAGACTAAAAGTCTTTCTTTAACTCATGCTTTATCTGGAATTGAGAATCACTGATTGTTTACTCACTGAACAGGGGATTGTTTATCCATATTTTTTTTTTTTAGTAGCGCAGTGTAAATTTGATGGAATTCATTACTAAAAAAAAAGAAAATAATTCTGAAGAATTAGGATTCATTGGTTTGTCTCTAATTTTAAATCGATTTTTTGGTCTTTTTAGTTTTGCTTTTTGTCTTTTAGTTTCACTCAGCGCACTCCCAAAAAATATGGAGAAAAAATAAGAAATTATTTTGTTTCATCTAACAAAATAAAGATAAAAACTTAATTTTCTAATCAATATAATTAACAATGGAAACTCAATATTCCAATTTCATTAAGTAAACTTACAATGAGTTTTTGATTTGTTTTTAAACGTGAGAAAGTTTCTTTTTTTTTTTTAATTAAATAAATGAAAACCTGATGAGTTATTTTCTCTTTCGAAAATAAAAATATTTTTTGTTAATAAGGCAAACTTTTGCATCGTGCTAAGTTTTTTTTTTTTTCCTTAACTTTCTCTTGTTAATTATTTTTCTCGTAATACTTGATTTGACAAAATAAAAACAAAGCAAATTGGCAAGTAGGGCATGAAGTTTTTCAATACAACACAGAAAGACAAAAGACTTTAAAAAGAAAAGAAAAAAAAAGGACTCTATGAAATAAAATAAAAAAGTTAAAAATTCAGACCTGGACAACTGAAGAAAATAAATATCTTAAACCATGGAATCAAAAGGGGGAAAATATGTTAATCAGGAGAAATAATTTTGAAGTTTTGTCTATAGAGAATCCGATGGTTTTTTTTTTTTTTTCCTTCTTTACTTTTTTTTTTTTGTTCTTTCTTTCTTTCTTTTTTTTTTTTTTTTAAGTACACAAAAGCATAAACGTTGCTTTCCACAGAAACCGGTGTTAAACGCAAATTAAAAATAAGACAAGGGAAATAACTGCGTGCACCGGTAAATGTAAAGCTAAAGAGGATGATATTTTCAGAGGAACTTCTTGTATATCTATGTAGGTTTTCTTTTTTGGTTATTTTTAAAGAATAAAATATAAGGTACAGAAATATAGAAATCTTCCTATAATTATTCTGTTATGGTCTATATGTGTAACGCGCTGTAACCACCTCCTGAGTAAAAAAAATGTATTCTTCTATTCATTGTTATGGTAGGGAAAGAAATATGCCATGGAAGACTCTATTTAGTTTGGATGTAAAAAGGGAAAGAAAAAAAAAAGAAAGAATTTTAAATAAAATAAAATTTCATCTTTATTTTAATGAATAAACATATTAAGTTTAATTATTTTACAATCTGAAATATATTTTCAAACAATAAATGCAGTAAAACCTTGATTTAAAGAATTAACTGGATGAGAGTGTTTTCTTTTTAAATCAGTGATTCTCAACCCCCATGCCACACAATCTTAAGTGTACTGCAAAATATTGTCTATATATATTTGCATGTATGTGTGTGGAAATAGTAATAATGGTATGGCATTAGTATTGGAACAAATGAATAAATATTAAATAATTTTTGCTGTGATATTTTCATTTGCTCCTAGGTGTGCCATTGCTTAAAAAGGTTGAGAAACAATGCTATAGATCCTTAAACCCAATAAATTCAACATTTCAGAAAGAAGCAAGTATCTTTAGAGGCAATACGTTCCTCTTGCACTTCCTTGAACGAATAGACACTGGTTTGCTGCATTTAGAAGCCATGGCATGAATGCACATAAAAAGACAATGTGCAAAAAGTTTGCTTATAATCATTGTCTAAAATTTGAAAATTCAACAAGGCCATCATGTAAAAAAAATCAGTTTGCACTCTTATTAAAACAAGATTTACAAAATACACTGGAAATCTTAAAAGTACCCTATAAATAAATTTGTACATTATTTACATTATTCGGACTATTGTCCTCATCTTTGTCGCCATATTTATCACAACGTTTTGGCCGTTGTACGCTCCGGCCTTCTTCAGGTGGTTGGAATGTCAAACTGAACCCTTTATTTCGCTCACTGGGGTAGACTGTTCTAGTTCCACATGTTTTGATGGATGTCGGTTATCAGTTATCTCCTGTTAATTTCCCTCTGAAAGTTCTCCACTGCCTTAACTGGGTATTGAACTCACACTCTTTGGGTCCTGTCACTGGATCTAACCACATCTTTATCCTTGAGGATATCTGGGTATGAATTTCTGGGTGTTATAAAATTGTGTCAATTTGAACAGCAATGTATCTGAACAGATCAGGCTGTAAACATGCATGTACATACTAGAATTGTCCTTCCAAAAATGTTTTTTTTTCAGTGCATTCACTTGAGAGCATTCATTTACAATAGGTACAGTGGAATAATGGATAGCACCTCGATCTGAGGAATTGGGGAGCTGAGTTCAAATTCAAGTCGAATCCATTACATTCACTTACATGCTAGTACCCTTAGGAAGGTATGAATCCTTTTCTTCTCCCCAACTATGGGTAAATAGCAGGACAGACCAGGTTCTATAGCCTTGGATGGCAACTGGTCTACCACAGGAAGAAATGGCTACCTACTGTCAGAAAAAATCTGCATTGTCAGTCATGTATCAAAAGATACATGATCGCCTAAGTGTGTATCACTTTTTTTAAATGAAAAGTCAGTTTCTAAAGGACCATGTGATCTATGAATAGTTCCTTAAAATCAATGTTTTACTGTATACACGAGATGTTTTTCTTTTGCTTTCTCTCACCTTCTCTCTTTGTCAGTTGCTCTTGAACAAAGTAAAAGATTAGATCAAGGCAACTGGAGATACAGAGGCCAGTGAGAGAGAGAGAGAGTACCGGAAACCCCTTCCGAAACAAGGCATAAGCCTCTACTCATGTCCAAGAGAAGGGGGAGGAGTGTTGACCGGGCAGTAGGAAAGCCTACCTACTCCTATTACATATAACACATACAATAACAAAAACAGAGGTAACAATTAGAGAGGGAGGTAATTTGCAAAGAGTCCTGGCTGACACTTGCATTTACCCTTTCACAACATTAAGTTAAGTTTTAACTTAGTATAAGTCCCATTGTCTATTCTAAAAAGAAATTGAAGAAAATAAGGTTATCCGGATTTATTGCCGTGTCATAATAAAAGCCCCAACATATGTGGCAGCGAGTGTGCCCCAACATATGTGACAGCGAGTGTTAGTCCGCTTTCTTCCTCATGATAACAAGTGAATGTACAGCTTACCTTAAGTCCAAGCATCGACCTGGTGGGGGGGGGGGGATCAACTGCCAATCCACTGCCCTCACCAAATAGTGGGCTTGGGAGGCATGCTTTCAATAAAAATTAAGAACAACAGGAGAAAGAATGGTGGCGAAAACAATTCCAAGTTCAGAAATTTTATCAAGCAAGAATAGTCGGCCATTAAATCATGAGAATACTGACGAGACACTTTCGCATCTAGCCAAAGACATTCAATTTTCCCTTTTTTCTGATTTTTCTTTCGAAACGGGATTTCTAACTAGACCATTAACATAAGTTAGAATGATTAGGACAAAATGTGTTACTATGGACAAACACACTGACGAGTAGGGGGAGAAAAAAGACAAAAAAAAAATACAATAAAATAAAATTTAAACATTAAAAAAAAAGAAAAGAAAAATAAACAATTAAAGAAACTATACAAAATTATAAAAGATATATTTCTAAAAGATGGGACAAAAACAAGGAAGTGTCAAAGTGAAGCTGATAATTTGTAGAAGCGCTTTTGCTTACAATAACAGCTTCCAGTTACTCCCAGTCGTGAGGTTTGAACACTCTTCAGCTGGTATTGTGGACAACTCTTCATGACAAATCTTCTTCAGGTCATTCAAATTACTAAATCTGACAAGTTTTCAGATGAGAGAACTGATTGGTCAAAGTTGATTTGCTTATTTTCAAGCCACTGTTACATAGCATTGGCTGTATGTTTAGGATTGTTGGCCTGCTGAAACATCCAATTGCACTTCCTTTTTAAATTAGCCTTGACTAATATAAAGATATTCTTTTTCAATATATTCTAGTACATAATTCCATTCATTCTTTCAACAATTGTGTGAAGTCATCCTGTATCATGTAATAAAAATAGTCCTGTACTATTAGATTGTCACCCCAATGCTTTAAGATTGGGGTATAGTATAACTTGGATTTTTTTTTATTCTTCTTCCCACAATCCAGTGATCAAATTATAACTGTATTTTTGTTTCATCACATTGACTGATTTGTTTTTTTGCAGGTTGTTTAAAGCCAGAAATTATTTTTAGACTGTAAGAATTCTTTTAAGATAAAGATTTTACTGATAAAAGTCATCCTAATTAACCTATAGCTGGGGGGAAAAGAGGTGGATTCATACCTTTCCCAAGGATATTTTCATATAAGTGAATATAACGAACCCAACTGAAATTGGAACTTGGCTCTCCTATTTCTGAGCAGTTATTCATGACACCACCCACACATAAGCAACAATCACAGCACCCCACTCCTAATAATCTTCATAGAAAAGAAATTGGAAAATGGCTCACTGGAGGGTCATGCCAGCCTTGCAGACATACCACTACAACCCTCCAGTGGGTTGTGTACGTTCCAACGTGTTAATCTATAGTAATATGAAAAACATTTATCATTTCTATTGTACAACACTAACAGGTATTTTTCCATATTTTTCAAATTTTAAAACAGATTTTTTAAAGAGACATTATATTAAAAAAAATAGATGTGTGGGTGGTGTAATGGTTAATTGCTGGAAAGGAGAAATCAGCAAGCCAAGTTCAAACTCTGATCAAGTTTATTACATCCACTTTCATGCGAATACCCTTAGGAAAGATATGAATACATCTCTCTTCTTTCAGCTATATAATAAAAATAGCAGGGCAAACTGGGTTCTCTAGCTTTGGCTTGTAACCAGGTTAGATCAAGGATAACTCTTAATTCAAAAACCAATCTCAAGAAGGATGGACTCCATTAGGTTATTTTACCCTAGCTACACCCACTGCTGCTGCAGTACATGTGATGCATAATGATCATAAAGTATTATGGGACTTATGTGCATATTACAAATAGTCATTATTTAAAATGACTGATAGATTGAAGCAACTCCATATCTAAATATACAAAGTGTGACAATTCCATTCTTGAAATGGTACTGTGAAAACAAAGATGGCTGCTGCCACTTGCACGGAACTACCCTCGTAAAGCTAACAAAACTACGGCCAGAAACAAAAACAATGGGATGACAAAACCAATTCAACGTGGAGCATTGAAACAAGAAAAAATTTTAATAGCAAACGCTGAACAATGTACACTACCGACACATTTTCCAGAGTGTGCTACATTCAACTAGAACATACTACAACACCCTGATATCAACACAAGCACATATCATTGACATGTTTTAGCATGCATCTCAAACAACGCCTATTTTTTCAGCTCACAGAACAAAAACTTCCATAATTTTACATATATCCAGAAAATATTTCCTACCTGGAGGGGTATTGCCAGAGTTACTTTCTCCTAACTTCTTTAATTTTCCAAACTGGGGACACTCTCCAGTTTTATATATACTTGGCAATATCTTTTCTCGCCCTCTTTTTCTTCTCACTTTTCAGCTGACACTACAACAATGTAAATCTCTCATGGAAATTTGCATTTTTTTCCTTTGGGGGTAACACCATGAACAATACATAAGCACACACGTACATACATACGCACATTCACATTATTGTCTTTGTAACTTGTAACCTTTCTTTGTTAATACATTATTATTTGTGTGTACATATATATCTTGTTGTTTCTCTTATTTCTTTATGGCAGATTCAATCTCCAAGTCCGCCATGTTTTGTTGTGGGCATTTCAGGAGACACACGTGTTCATCACACAACACGTACACACCAGCTCGCAATAAGCTTTTACATTACATGAAAATTGTGACAGTTTCAGCTAAACATTGTTTCTTTACCTTTTCAATTAAAAATTTTGAAAATCACTCATTTGTTGTGTCCATCTTAAGCTTATCTTACAAATTTTTAAACCACTTTGCTATGGTTGATGAAATGTCTTGCAAGAAATCTCTCAGTTCTATAGAAGTTGGTAATGTCTTGTAAGAAATTTCTTTGTCCTGGTCATTCTTACATAGGCAAGGAATTGAATTGTGATTCAAGATAAAGAATAGACTATGAAGGTAGTGATATCAATCATTGACCTGGAGCACTTATCGAGATATCTTTTAAGACATTTTTTGTCCCAAGTCTTCTTACTCTGGCAAGGAATTGGATTGTGATTCAAGATAAAGAATAGACTATGAAGGTAGTGATATCAATCATTGACCTGGAGCACTTATCGAGATATCTTTTAAGACATTTTTGTCCCAAGTCTTCTTACTCTGGCAAGGAATTGGATTGTGATTCAAGATAAAGAATAGACTATGAAGGTAGTGATATCAATCATTGACCTGGAGCACTTATCAAGATATCTTTTAAGACATTTTTTGTCCCAAGTCTTCTTACTCTGGCAAGGAATTGGATTGTGATTCAAGATAAAGAATAGACTATGAAGGTAGTGATATCAATCATTGACCTGGAGCACTTATCGAGATATCTTTTAAGACATTTTTTTGTCCCAAGTTTTCTTACTCTGGCAGGGAATTGGATTGTAATTCAAGATAATGCATAAACTATAAAGGCAGTGACAGTAATTAGTGATATGGAGTAGTCTGGCAAAATATCTTGTAAGGTTTTTTGTCCAGAACCTTTTTATTCTGGCAGCAAAT